CTATGCTCTGAAATACCTTTAGTAGTAGTGGTGTTAACTCTTCTCTGAAAGTTTGGTAGAACTCTCTAGTGAAGCCATCCAGGCCAGGGCTTTTTTTGTTGTTGGGAGTTTTTTAATTACCTTTTCAATCTCTTCTTTTGTTATGGGTTTATTAGTTGTTTTACCTGTGTTTGTGTTAGTTTAGGTAGGTAGTGAGTTTCTTGAAATATGTCCATTTCCTCTAGGTTTTTGAATTTGTTAGAGTGCAATTTTTCATAGTATTCTGTTACGATTCTATTAATTTCATTTGGGTCTGTTGTGATATCACTCATCTCATTTCTTGTACGAGTTATTTGCTTCCTCTCCTGTTTTTCTTTTGTCAGTTTGGCCAATGGTTCATCAATTTTCTTCATCTTTTCAAAGATGCTGTGTTCTTCTTCATATAGTCCAGCTTCTCAAATTATTTGCTCAGCATACAGACTAAGTATGGTAAAAGGATACAACCCTGATGCACACCTTTTTAATATTTTATTACACTAGAAGTTGGAAAATAATTGTTTACTGAAAATAATTTTATTATTATACCAGTAAAGTTTGAGTAGCAAAACAATAGAAATAGATTATTAAAGTTAAAAGGCTTCAATATAATTGCTTAATGTCTATCTTCCTGGACATAATGAAGTTCTGTGAGGGAAGGGTCTTTGTCTAGTTCACTGCTATACTACCCAGCCTGCATAGTGGCATATGCTAAGAGCACAATAAATGTAGTAGCTCAATTAATGAAAGAAATTTCTAATTGAAAAAACTAAAGAAAGGCATAGTCTTAAAGAGGTGAAAGCAATGAGTCATCAAATCCAACTTCCTACCCAAACAGAATTTCCTTCTTTCAACATTTAACAGTTCCAACCACTTCTAGGGACAAAGAGCTCATGAATTTACAGGACAGTCTGTTCCAACTATGGAGGAGTTCCTTGCCCCTATTTCTCCCTCCACTTCAAGCTCTGTTTAAGGTAGTGGTCTGCAAAGCAGAGTGCATGTATCCCAGAGTTATGATGGCTGATCCATAGGGTGAGAGGAGAAAATGAGACATTCTACACAAAACTTTTCATATTTAGATTAAAAGCTGTACTAATACTTAATATACAGAGGGTCACTGGCACCCTCACTCAGACTGGTACAACAAGAAGACTAGTTGTTCTACAATGAAGAAGAGTCATCAGTGCTGCCCTCAGTCGCTTGCTCCATTTCAGCACAATGAGTCTTACTTCAGCATACATTCCATAAAAATAGGTCTTGAAACAGGAGAATCTTTATAAAGAGACAGGAAGTGACAATGACAGACATTTACTAGTTTTGCTTATGGCCGAGTATCCTATAGTTGAGTTTAAGATGTTAATCAGTTTTCTTTTACACAAAGGGAAGAATTCTGAATATGCCAACCATTTCTGTGATGACAAGTGGATATCAGTAGAATATGCTACCTAGCAGTTATTTTCCAAAAAAGAAAACATGCTTAAATCTGTCTTTTCAAAGTAAAGATAATGCTTTAGTAATGAGTGAGAAGTAACTGCTTTTCAAAGCAAATTTGTACTATGGAAAGAACACTTTTAAAAATGATATTTGGAAAGGTTTCCATTGTTACATGATTTTGTTGTTGAAAACAATGTTTATTAAAAATATTGTCTATTAAAAAGATCATCTAAAAAATAAAAAGATCATCTATTTTTTTTAAGTAATTATCTACACAGGTTATAAAAAGTTTAAAAACACGGAAAGAATACCGCAACCAATCTAAAAGTCTTCTGAACAAAGAGTCTGAAAAAAACAGGTTTTAAGTCTTATGCTTTATATAAATAAAAATGCAACACCTTCCAATTAGTTAGCAAGAATAGCTGATTGAGATCAGGGGAAGAGGGGAGTGTAGTAGTCAATTTCAACAAAATCCATCCCATAGTCGATGGATGGGACTGGAAACATTAGTAATCAACCAATGATGCAATTCTTCCTTTTGGATCTATGTGTCTTAGTGAAGTATCTCTTTTCAAATATGAAAGTCATTAAAATCCAGTGTCAAAATTAACTCAATTTAGAATCAAGGCTTTGTATAGCTTTATGTAAATACTGTATTGAGATTATTTTAGTCATCAACAATAACCAAAACCAAAACCCCTTTGCCAATGAGTCAATTCTGACTCATAGTGACCCTATAGGACAGAGCAGAACTGCCCCATAGGGTTTCCAAGGCCGTAAATCTTTACGAAAGCAGACTGCCACATCTTTCTCCCATGGGTCATCTACAATAACACACTTAGTTAATTAGCAAAAGGAAACATTTACTGAATGCCCAGCAGATATGTCCCACTTTATTTGACATCATCATTTTGGTTGGGCATAATCCTCCCCTTCAAGGAGCAGAACAAAATACAATCCTCAGATTAAGTCTCGCCATAAATTATTTTGCCAGTGATCTGGAAGTTAATCTATAAAATTCAGATATCACACCTCTCATTTCCTGTGAGGATTAAATAGACCCACACAAATGAAAATGCCTAGCACAGTGCCTGATGTATACAGGTGCTCACGAAACATTCATTTTATCCCCCCTGAGGCTTAACTCCATGTGACATAGTGAAGAAAGCATGGGCTTAGAATCAGACAGGTCTGAATTCTCACTAAACCACTTGCTAGCTGTGTGACTCGGGACAAATTATGTAACTCCATCCGCAGAATGGAAATAATAATACTCACTCTCTAGGGTTAGTGTGAAAAGTCAGTAAAAGAATGATGCATCGTCTCTCGACCCAGACGTATAAATAAACGCCCAGCCCTCCTCCTTCAACAAGAGTCTGTTCACAACTGTACCAAAACGATAGACTCACAGGTCTCCGAGATCAAAGTCTCTATCCTCTGGTGAGAATGACAGCAATACAGTAACTGACAATGCCTGGCAGGAAGGTACACTCACTAACGCTTACTGAGCCAAGGTGAATTACTGTGTTCAATGTCCCATGATGCAGTGTGGCAGCCGGGCTACTCCACGGTTGTCAGACTGGGTCTCTCTGCTTCTCAAACCAGGGCTCTCTCCACCGTCTTGCTGACTCTCCCTAGTTTAAATCATTCAGCCCGTTGCCATCGAGTCAATTCTGACTTACAGTGACCCTACAGGACAGAGTAGAACTGCCCCATAGGGTTTCCAAGGAGTGGCTGGTAGATTCGACCTGCTGACCTTTTGGTTAGCAGCCGAACTCTTAACCACTGCGCCACCAGGGCTGCGTCAGTCATTTAGTTACTGATAAAATTGTCTGCTTAGTCATACTCTCTAATACAAATTAATTTAAGGGTCAGAATAAAGTATTACCGTAGTTGGAGCTTTTCAGGTCTCTATGGCTAAGGAAGCTATGACTGTGTTAAAATATTTCTACATAAAAGCAAAAAGAATTCACACAGCTTTAATCAGGAAAAAAGGTTTCTTCTGGTTTTGCACAACAATCACAGGAAAGTCACCTATATTTATGATTTTCCTAAATGCTAAACCACATGTAGAGATGCTTTTAGAAAATTACAACTGTAGAATGGTACGACCCATTCAAACCGTAAACCGCTAACTCTGGTGCAATAGCTAAAGGGTTGGGGGGAGGGGAGCAGCCGCTCTCTTCTTGTCAAACCCAAGGCGGGATATACTTTAAGTAAAATCTATGCACTGAACACATGAACGCAGGTGCCCTGACTGTGGTGACTTAAAATATACATGAAGCCTCTGTGAGACACAAGGAGTCAACTCAGAGCTTCTGGGTGACAGGCAGAAAACAGGTTTTAAAATGTCTGAAAACTGCAGCCTCAGCGCCTTTGCAACACCTGCTTAACGTTGTCACGTGAAGCGACCAGGCATAAACAGCACTACTAGGGCTACACGACCATTCACGGGCTCCGCGAACACGACCTGGCCTTGTGAACGTGTCGTTAAGCAAAATCAGGCAAACAGACAGGGGCGGCCTTCACCTAACTTTCTTCCAGATGGAGACCGCAGTAAGGAGGCCGCGGTGGGCCGGAAGCCAACCCCCAAACAATAAATAAACAATGGAGAACTCTGACACTCCCAAAGCTTCTCTTCGTCTGTCATCTTTCCAGAATGTTATCCCACGAAATGGCGTTTGTCTGCCATCGAATCCCGCAGCCCCTCACATACCCAGAGGGAGGACTGGTGACCTCCTCCTACCGACCTTTTCATCCCGCTTCGTGCACCTCAAAACACCACCTCAACCATGATTCCCCTAGTGTGCACTCGGTTACCTAGCGTAAGTTTCTGGAACACGTGATTTGGGGGAGCAACTTGCTAGAAACATAGAACAACACTTCAAAGCATTTCTCTGCGCCCTGTCACACGTGCATCCAAACAATGCCCAGGGCGGGACTGAATGTCACCAATCTTGGATGGCACTCGCTTAATTCGCGGGGAGCCAGGCCCAGGAGGCTCCTCCGGCCCTGGGGGACCTGTCGCGCCCGGCTCGCCGCCAGCAGCTCTTACCCATTTGTCCAGGGGGACCTGGGCGAGGGAGCCGGTGCCCTGGTACAGGTCCAGGCTGAGCTGCTCCAGGCTCAGCTTCTCCTGCAGGAAGTGGCCCAGGTACCTCTGCAGGAGGTACCGACAGGCCCTCTTCTTGATGGACTCCGAAAACGGCCAAGGCATGACGAGGGCTGGCAGCTGGGCTGGCTGGGCTGCGGGCTGCGACGGCTTGGTCCTCGGTACGGCGCCTCAGGTCCCGGCCGGCGTCCCAGGCCGCGGAGGGCCTACGCCCGGGGCGCTCCCGCCATGCCCGCCGATCGCCGGGCGCCCGTCAGGGCCACCCCATCGCCGGGGCCGCACCGCTTCCGTAGGCCTGGCGGGGGAAGGCAAGGGGGCCCCTGTCACCCAGCCGGGGCCTTCCGAGGTGTCCTCGTCGGCACAGAGGGTGCAAGACGGCCCGAGGGAGGCGGCCGGCTGGGAGGAGACCCCGCTGGGGCCGGGATGGGGCGCACACCCCCACCGCCGCCGCGCGGCCAATTTGTTGTCATCCGAGGACGCGCTCCCAGCTCTAGGACGCTCCCGGCGCGCTCGCGAGACCCCGGCTCGGCGCGCGCGGCCGTCGCTGGCGGAAGTGACGCCACACTGGGGCTGGCGGAGGCGGGAGGAGGGCCCGAGAGGAGCAGTTCCGGCGCCGGGGGCGAGGCCAGGCGGGATGCATGGAGGCGGCGCCGCGGGCCGGTTGCAGACGCCTCCCGAGCAACGCGCAGGTGAGTGCAGCCGGCTTGGCTTCGGGCCGCAGCCGGAGGGGCTCGAGGGCGGGCGCGAGGGCTGTGAGGGCCTCCAGGCGCCGACCTGGCGCAGCGGGCAGGCCGGGAGGGGGCGACGGGCAGCAGGGGCCCCACGCCCGGGCTGAGGGGTCGGGGGGGCGGGTCCGGCCTGGGCCGTCCGGGTCACCTCAGACCCCGACCCCAGAGACTGACGCTCCGGTCGCCGCTGGCCCCACGAGGTGGGAGGCTGGAGCCCCCTCGAGCACCCCATTCCGGCCCCCGAATATTCCCCGGTGCCCGTTGTCAGCAAGTTCTTGGTCCCCCGCCTCGTTCAGGTATTGTTTGTAAAGCTTCGTCTTCGTTTCAGTTTGTTGATCGATTTGCAGTTTACAGAGCATTTCTTTTTTACGCTTACTTCCTCCTGGGTGTGCTACAGCAACGAGCAGGAAACTTGGGCTGTCGAGGCATCTGTGGGCAAAACTACTTGCTCCCACCCCAAGGGTGGGAAGTACTCGCGGTTTTCCGGGAATCTGCGCCATCGTATTTCTGCCTTCTAGGAGGCAACTCCTGCAGAGGCGGAGCTGGCTCTTAAAATCAGTCAACCCCGAAAGGGCCGGGTGCGGGTGTTCGGGGGGCCTGGAAGTCAGGTGTCCTGGGCTAGAATCGTGGCTCTTACTAGCTGAGCCACTGTGAACTGGCCACTGCCCGCTTTGAGCCTTGCATTTCCTCTTCTGCCAAGCGTGTGCCTTCTAATATCTCATCTTCCGGGATTATTAAGAGTAGAGAATGAGCCTAAACAGTCTGAAACATACCCCGTTACCGTCGAATCGATTCCGACTCATAGTGATCTTGTAGGGCAGAGTAGAACTGCCGCATAGGGCTAGTTTCCAAGGCTGTAGTCTTTACGGAAGCAGATTGCCACATCCTTCTCCCTCAGAACAAAGATTTGAACCGCCAACCTTTGAGTTAGCAGCCAAGCGCTTTATCCCATCGCCACCAGGGCTCCTTGTCTGTAGGAGCTGCTTAATTAAGGATAGTGAATTACAACGTCCAGTTTCAGGAGTTAACTACTTAATATCTGGTGTTTCATCAGTGCCTTAGAAATGCTCACACAGGACGGCACTTTTGACAGAGAAAGATCTGACTCCCCAGTCCATAACCATCTTTGCATTTTAGAGCCAGTATGCTCTCCAGTGGATCTGATGTTTGGATTGTTGATGCCCCTCATTCTTTATAGCCTTGTCCTAAGCATCCTGGGTAACATCAGTTCCCTTGCTCTTTATTCAAAAATATTTAAGGATCTCTTAAATGAAAACCACTGCAGTTGGTGATATGAGGCATGTAGAGAAGAATGAGGCAGAGTGCTCAAAGGGCTTATGTTCTAAAGTGGAAGGGCCATTTATTTATTCAGTAATTATTATTGATTGCCTGCTATGTGACAACGGCCCCTGGGTGGCACAAACAGTTTGCCTTTGACTTTGAAAGGTTGGCGATTCAATCCCACACAGCAGTGGCATGAAAGACAGGACTGGCGAGCTGTTTCCATATAAATTACAGCCAAGAATACCCTATGGAGCAGATCTACTCTGTAACACATGAGGTCGACATGAGTTGGAATCAACTTGATGGCAGTGGGTTTGATTTTTTGGTTTTGCTATGTGCCAGAGACTGTTCTAGGTGCTGGGGGTACAGCAGTGAACAGATGAGTCCCTGCCCTCGAGGAGCCTACATTTTAATGATGGAAGGGAACATGGGCAGTAATGAAATGAACAATATGCCAGGTGGTGATCAGTTGTGGAAAACAATAAAGCAGTGTAAAGGGGATGGAGATGGGGAGGAGGGAGAGGTGCTATTTTTACATACAGTGGCAAAGGAAACCTCTCTAAGCAGGCGATGTTTTAGCAGAGACTGGGAGAAAGCTCGGGAGCAAGGCATACGAAAACCTGGGAGAGTTGCTTTGCAGGCAGAGCTGGTGGCAGGCCCTGTGGCAGGAGTGCGCTGGGTGAGTTCAAGGAATGTCAGGAGTGAGTGAAGGAAAGAGGAGTAGAAGCTGAAGCAAGAGAACTGGATGGGGGAGGCAGGTGCAGATCATACAGGGCCTTGTAGGGAACCTGGTAGCCAGTAGTTAAATGCTCAGCTGCTAACTGAAAGGTCAGCAGTTTGAACCCACCAGCCGCTCTGCCGGAGAAGGATATGGCAGTCTGCCTCCGTAGAGATTTACAGCCTTAGAAACTCTATGGAGCAGTTCTCCTCTGTCCTGTAGGGTCTCTATGAGTCGGAATCGACTCAGTGCAATGGGTGTAGGCCATCATAGGAGTCCTCGGGTGGTGCAAATGGTTAACGCACTCAGCTGTTAACTGAAAGGTTGGAGGTTTGAACCCACCCAGAGGCTCCTCAGAAGAAAGCTCTGGTGATCTACTTTCCGAAAAATCAGCTGTTGAAAACCCTGTGAAGCACAGTCCTCTGACACATGGAGTTGCCATGAGTCGGAATCGACTCCATGGCAACTGGTGGTCCACTGTAAAGACTGGATTTTAGCCTGGGTGGGATGGGGTTGGGACAGGGATGACATAATCAGGCCATGCCACCTGCTATGTTACGAATAGACTGGGGTGGGGGTGGGAGACCAGTTTCAAAACAGCAAGATGAGTTAGAAGGATTTCATAGTAACCCAGGTAAAAGATGACAGTGGGTGGACCAGAGTGGCAGCAGTAAAGATGGTAAGAAGCAGTTGGATTCTGGATAGATTTTAAAGGTCATAGACATGTTTGCAAATAGTATAATACCATAAAATAAACAGAGTGCTTTGAAAAGGTGGGGAATTAGAAGAGGCCTTGGGAGGTTTGAATTGGACTTTTAAAGAATGGGTAGGGTTTGGATTTCTTTCAGTAACTGTTGAATAAGTGGGGTTTTTTTTTGGAACATAGAATTGCATCGAGCCTATCCATAGGATGCCTGCAATTTCAAATATCAGGAAAGGAAAATAAAAATTGAAGATTTTACAATAACAGACATGCTCCATTCAGTGTTAAGTGTGTTGTCTTTAAATTTTACACTTTCTAGGAGAAATTCCACATCCACGTTAAGGTTTAGAACCTGTCATTGTTACACCTTTAGCTGTAATAGGGTACAGACTCATCCCAAGTCACAGAGCTGTTTTGTGTTTCATCAAAGTTTCACAGAATGTTAACACTTAGCATTAATTGAGGAAGATATCAGCTTTCTAAGGTTTATATAAAAGTGCTTGAAGCGATCGGTTAGAAGCTGTCTACCAGAGGTTGAACGGGTCATGTCAAAATAATCCTCCCTCAGGGGAATCTATTAACTTGGCAAATAAAAGAAAAGCTGGTCAGGTGCGCGGCCGTATTTAAGAGTCACCCTTGGGTAACAGGAACATGCGTTGGGGCTCTGTTGCCCAGCTCTCGGAGCAGACGGAGCAGCAGCATGACCTTGTACACCTGCGTCATGTGAAGATCGCTGAACTCGGAGTGCAGAGCCTTGAGTTTCGAGGACAGCTCTTCCTTTTTCAAAGATCCTTTATTTTTAAAGTATAATAACTAACAGATATTTTTCATGCTAAATCTCTGCCAGGCCCCATGCTAAGCACTTTCTGTACATTCACCATTCTGTTCTCTGAGTGTCCCTTTACGGTAGAAGGTATTGCGTGTGTCTCATTTTAAAAGAGAAGCATCTGTACATGAGCGAGACTAAACGTCCGACCCCCAGTTGCACAGTACTAACTGACAGCTGGATTCCAGCCCCCAGCAGCCTGCTCAAGAGCCGTTTAACCCCCACACTGCACTGGCCACTTCTTGTTGATGTTGAGAGCATTTTCCAGACTGCAGCTGGGATAGAAACCAAAGTAATCATGACTAAGATACTGCATTCTAGCCCTTAGCTGACTGTTGGTGATGTCAGTTGCAAAGTCAGACTTCCCAAATGAGACTGTGAAATCTGCACTGCTCTTGAAATCTTTCTGGCATTGTTCTTTCAACAGTCTGTCTATATGACTGTCTGCATCTGTTCTTTTGTCACCAAGGACAAAGCTGACCGCTACAGTTTTTCTCCATCCCTTTGATGCTGTGAATTTGGGATGAAACAGTACATTCTAGTAAATGAAGAAGTAGAGTAAGGAATTTAGTAATCAATATCTTCACAACTAGTTTCATGAATTCTCCAGAAACACCAATCCAGCCCCCAAAGTATACCAACAGATGGAAGAAGAGCTGGTTCCTAAGTAATTCACGTGTGATGTTTTAAGGAATTATTTTGGAAACTTTATATGGGGTGATGCAATCTACAAGAATGACTAATCGCAACCTTAAGGTATTTTGATTTTTGAAGGTGCTGGCAAGAGAACACTGCTGAGAATCTGGTAGAGAGCCAATTTAGAGCTTAACTGCAAAGCAAAGAGGGTTTCTAGTTTATACCTCTTCAGATATTGATTTGTTTTGTGTTGGTTTGAATGTACTTTATTCAAACATGGTGCCAAAGGATTATTTTCTAGAGGATTATACAGAAATAAAAACCTGTAATTCCTGGAATTTATTTTTAAACAATTTTGAGAGTCTTTTCTTAGAAATCTGACCTAAACAGTTTCTGGTTTTGAACAAAAGGTTGTTTACAGGGTTTTGGGGTTTTTTTAAATTTTATTTTATTGTTGTACTTTAAGTGAAAGTTTACAATTCAATTAGTCCTTCATACAAAAATTTATACATACATTGTTACGTGACCCTAATTACTCTCCCTATACTGTGACAGCACACTCCTCCTGTCCACCCTTGATTTCCTGTGTCCATTCACCCAGCTCCTGACCCTGTCTGCCTTATCATCTCACCTCTGGACAGGAGCTGCCCATTTAGTCTCATGTCTCTACTTCAGCTAAAAAAGCACACTCTTCACGAGTATCATTTTATGTCCCATAGTCCAGTCTGTTCTTTGAAGAGTTGGCCTCGGGAATGGTTTTAGTTCTGGATTGACAGAGAGTCCGTGGGCCATGC